CGATCTAGACTTTCCCAAACAAAACGTACTCACACTTTCAAAACATTATACTTTTGTTTGTAAAAAATGTCAAAAATCATATTTTTATAGAATACAATGTTATTTTCTGGATATTTTCTAAAGTTTTATTGTGTGAACTTCATTTTTCTATAAAAGAACCTATAATTATCGATATGCAGTAAATTAATAAACTTTTAAGATTTCCTTTTGACTTGGCCACTAAAAAATTAACAAATATCAACACCATATATTCAAATTGCATATGATGAAGTAAAAAAAGAAGTAAAAAAAAGGAATAGACAGGACTGGACTTGACAAAATTTCTAGGCTACTCTTGATGATGAGAATGATAAGGACATTCATGACATTTTTCACAAAAGAGAGAAGGGCATAATGGTCAGATGGTCTTTTTGGAACACTTAAAGTAGGTAAGAGTTTTAGATACCTTCAACTGCTTCCCCTGCTACTTTTGAATGTTGTTTAACCAAGTCTTCCTTGATACTAGTATTTAGAAGAGCTACTGATAGTTTATAGGATAAAGTCTTGACACCACCCTCAAGTTCTTCCTGTGGTATTTCAGACTTTGATGTGACTTCGGGTGACAAGGAACTTTGATTTGAATATATCTTTTGAAGATTCAAAAACAAAAGTATAAGATTTTAACCAACACTTGGAAAAGCAAAAATCAGGGAAGAAAAATATAACAAAACCAAGATATCATAATTGGTCTATTTCAAAAAGATTTATGAAGCATTAATTAATCTTGAATTGTATAAGAACAAATAATACACACATTATATTATTTCTACTGCAAACATTAACACAATTTTGACTTTGAAAGTCAAACACGAACGTATTGCTTTCCAAATTCAAACTCAATTCGCAATTACAAAAGGTTTTACTTTCTTACTCAAATTGTTCAAATCTTCATCTTTTCTTGTATTCCGATGTAGTTATCTTAATTTCTAGTAAATTTCATAGTAATTTTGGATTTATATGTGATGTGTTTGACTGTAAAAGTTAAACTATAACATGAAGAGGAATCTTATTCTGATGATAGCTCAAGGAAGAAAAGCTACTTAATAAAATTAAGACCATATTTACCAGCCAATAATTACATACTACTATTAAATCATAGGATGCATTGTTTGGGCAAAATCAGCATCGAGCAAGGAAAACATAGATGAGAAGAGTCTGATAGTCAAATACTTCTTTCTCCGTTTTGGTATTACTTTGACTAAATCGAAATCTTATTCACGTAAAGAACAAAGGGAGTAGAGAAAGAGGGGAGAACCTTGACGGCAGGAGTGACGGCTTGGCCAACAAGACCAGGTTCCGAGTATGAACACTAAGCTGACTGATTTAGTCCCATTCACTTCCGTGCTCCTTCGAAGATCATTTTGTGTACCATCCGAGGTCAGGTGGCGACAGTGGAGATGCGGAGAACAATGAATATGCACGCACCTAAGTTAGAAATTAAATGGAGAAGATGATGGTAAATTCCAAATATAGATTAGAGGAATCTATTACCTGGATCAGAAAACGGAGAAGATGATGGCGATTTCCAGATCTGCTTAGCATCTGGTCAAGAAACAAAAAGACTCGTCAACACCGTTAAAGATGCATAACATTGCTACCACATGGTGGTGGCCAGCATCGATGAGTGGTGGCGGGGATGGACAACAAGTTAGGTTAGAGAGAGGGAGGGTGACGGATGAGAAAGAGATCAATTCAGAAATTACCCTGAAAGCACCAAATCAGTCATCAATTGTTAAACATAAACCACTTTCAAGTAAATAGAGATGTAGAGAAAGAGAGAGAGAGAGATTCAAGAAATAGAAGGCGGTGATGGAAGTAACTCAATGTTCGAGAGAGAGAGAGAGAGAGAAAGAGAGAGAGAGAGAGAGAAAGAGAGAGAGGCAAGAGAGATCACTGCATCTTTGGAGGGGGAAGTCGGCAACTGTGGACCTTCGGTGGGAGATATTGGTGGAGATGATCTTTGGTGGAGACGATAAGAATTGGTTTGATGGCGGCTATGTTTAGGAGATTAGGGTAAGATCTGTGTAGTGTGCAGTGTAATACGTATATGATCCGTGTAGTGTAATACGTATAAGATTGGTTATATGCTTAATATTATTGTACATGAGGTTATATATGTTGTACCTCTTAATTTTCAAGAAATGGGCAATATCCTTAATAATATACTAGCCGTTTACCAGCGCTAAGCGCCGGGCGACAAAGAGTTTCTTTCGGAAGATAGTTTTAATGTGATGATTAGTAACTTGTAGACGTGAGCTATTCATTGCGGCCATTTGGTAGACTATTTTGTATCGAATAGTTCATTTAAATAGATAGTTTTTTGCTAGGTGTATAGTCATACAATACGACAAAAGTTGAGTCTACATCTCAAATAATTCATCTAATAGTTCATACTTGATTTTACAATATATATATATATATATATATATATATATATATATATATATATATATATATATATATATATAACAATAATCTGCAACGATGTAGTTTCGTACATTTATAACATGTCCAATATATAAACTACACCAATCTGCAATCTTGTTGCTTCATCTGTTAGTCCTGTATTAAATATCAAATAAGCATCTAAGATACATATTTGAAAAAATTGTAAAATAATAAGTTGTTGATTGTACCTTGTTAATCACATAACACTTCTTTGTACACAACGTTTGATGTAGATTTCATCATTATCAAATGTTGTTTCCAGCTTTACTAATACCTTGGTATTGAAACATGATATTCCTCTGGACAACGCCACATAAAGCTGGCCATGTGAGAACACTGATTCTTGTAGATAAACACCTACATTTGGAATTGTTTGTCCTTAAGCTTTATTGATTGTCATAGAGAAACTAAGTTGAATTGGAAACTGCTTTCTCTTAAGTTTGAATGGGAACATCTCTTTGTCAGGCGGACATAGAGGAATTCTTGGTAAAAACACTCTTTTTCCAGCATGTTGGCCAACAACTATCTCTGCATCAATAACATTTTGTTGGAAAGCTCGACATATCAACCTGGTGTCATTAAATCAATCACATTTTGTTGGAAAGCTCGACATATCAATTCAATCTACTCTAATTATGAAAATCTTTTTGCCACATGTTACATTCTCATTTATTTGGCCACATGTTATTTTGTGGTTATTTTCAATTAAATTTTGTACACATGGCATGTTGTGGTTTTTTTTTCCATTTTAATAAATTCCTCATAATATTTTAATGTAATAATTACAATAAATGTAATAATAAATGCATATCAATTTTAATAATTGACTTTCTTTCTAATTCCAAGATTTCTAAATTAAAACTTCATTAGTTTCTTTTGTTTATTTATCTAAATTATTTGTTTAAACTTAAAAGAAAAAAAAAACACGTTACTTTTAATAATCCAATAATTTTCTAATTTTTCTTATAAATTCAAACTGTTTCAAATGTTTATAATTTTCATATTCAATTTTTTTTAAGTGAACCCATGTAATATATGGGTTTTACACCTAATGTAATAGTATGGTAATGAATTCAAGTGATTAGGGGACAAAAAATGGAAAACCATGAATTATTAGCATAATGTTGTAGTTTGAGACACGCATTTGAATTATGTTATGAAAAAAATAATCTTCAATGCAAGACATTTTCAAAAAATATCAAAGGGGAGAAAAAGTTTAAAATGGATGATTGAAATGATCATAGTTGGCCTATTGAATTATTGTAATCCTAGATGAAAACACTTGAATTTGGAACATAATGAAGGGTAAAGCGGATCTTGAAGATTGAGGTTAACTTACCTACATATATTTAGGAGTTAATCATATTTAAAAGTTTGATTTAATAATATTCAGATTTATGTTGTTCATATTTGAAGAGTTGATTAATTCCTTTATACTTTCTCAGCTGTAGTCATGATAGCAAAAAGACATAAATGCCCTTTTATAACTGGAAATAGCCTTAGGACCAAAAGTAGGCAATGCAGATCTACACAATTCCAACCATCTCAATTCATTGTATATTTAAAATTTAAACACCAGTCAACAAGTTTTCATTCCCACATTAACAAAATGAAGAAAAAAAATCTTAAAACTCAAAACAAGCTAACACGGAGCTCCACAAACATCTATAACCCAAGACAATCCAACTCCTGTTTATTCTTGATTTAAAAAAAAAAAAGAAACGAAAAATCAATATTACATCTGGAAACAATCACAACATAACAAGACTATATTGTAGCATTATACTTTCAATTTTCATCATTTTAGAACACTATAATTTGAAAATCTACCAATTCTAGCAGTGAAAGGCTTTACCTTGTTAGTAATATTATTGGAAAGCCAATCTAGACCCTCATATAGACCTTCTCCAGAGGTAGCACATGTCTTCTGAATGTACCTGTCACATAAAAATAAAAATATTTTTCCAATAACATTACATTTTTAATTAAGTAGGTTGTTATTTCTGTTATTAAAATTGTAATATTTTTGGCTTACCAATGTCGTTGTCGGAGAGAATGTAGGCCAAGCTTATCAGTAATCTCAGCAACATTCATGGCATTTGGAAGATCTTTTTTGTTGGCAAACACAAGCAACACTGTGTTTGGCCTGTATATGACTACAGTACCAAAAAAAAGTGCATTTTTGTCCTCTGCCCAAAAGTGGAACAAGATGGGACAGGACTTGCCAGTACAGTACTGAACATGTTGTATTGCGTTTGGCAGAACATGTTATACTATGTTTGACACGCATTACAGATCATGACTGACTGAGACTCATGTCAATGGAACAGAGTGTCATTTGGAACAAAAAAAAAGATGTTTCATCTGTTAACCCGAAAAAGGTGAGACAGGGACTTGGTCTCGATCTCTTGTATGTGAAAAGACGTAAATGCCCTCATCATGTCTGCAGTACCTCATTAAGCATCTTGTGGAGCTCATCTTTAGCCTCCCCAACACGGTCACGATCATTGCTATCAACCACAAAGATAAGCCCTTGTGTGTTCTGGAAGTTGTGCATCCACAAAGGTCGTATCTGAAGAAAAACCAAATAAGTTTCATATTTATCCAATTTTGGAGATTTTTAAAAAAAATTGATAAAAAGAAACCCATATTATACGAATTGATTAAAATTTTACGTTGACCTTACCACCAACATCCCAAACAGTGAAGCTGATGTTCTTGTACTCAATAGTCTCCACATTAAATCCTGCAAAGATTCAAGTTCATTATAGTATAAACATTAATTTTATTACAAAGTATTCAGATTTTTATCTTTTTCTTCATGAAAGATATAAGAAAGTGAAAATGAATGTAGTAACATATACTAATAGTGGGAATTGTGGTAACAATCTTTCCCAACTTGAGCATGTACAAGATTATGGTTTTACCAGTTGCATCACACCAACCATCAAAATACGCATCTCTATCTTAGCAAACAAGCGACTAAAAAGCTTGGTAAATGACAACCCCATGTTGATTAATTTGATAAACAAATAGACAAACATAAGCTTAGAACATGTCAAATAACTTTATATCAAATGGGAAAAACTGGAAATATCACAAGTGCTCAAATGAAGATTGTGAAATCTCATGTTTGATTATATGATGAAATTTCAGTAGATGATAATATGTCATACAATATCAGATTATGCATGGGGAAAAGAGGAAGTCTAATTTTGTGATGCTTGAAGATATTGCATTTGACCAAAAAGTAACACAATACCCACTCTGCCCTATAATAATTTGTCCACAAACATAAATTCTAAAGACAACTTATTTGTGTATGTCACTAACACTTTTCATCAAGATGATTAATAGCATGTCAGTCCGATCTACTAACCTTTTAAGTTGTGATGTTCATGGATGAAATTTGTCTCCAATTCACTACAGCAGCAGCCAAACAACAACTTTGGGTTTAGGATCTAAATCAGGAGAAAATAAGCATGAGAATGAAAATAAAAATAAAAAAACAACTTTGATAAAAATTGAAATAGTAAAACATTAACATAAGTTTTTTTATATTAATTCCATTAAACTTTAGTAAAGTTAACTGCTATAGTCAAAATGGAATGGTTAACAAATTATTAAATTAATTCATTCTTTCCCCTGCATGGTAAAATCACAAAAATTCAATGAAGCTTTATAACCCAATCTCATTAGACAATGATCAGAGAAAGACTAAATTGCCCTTTCATCTTGTTTTTGTGAATACCATCAAAATGCATAAAGGGACCATAATACCCTTTTATAACCTTATCAAACCATTCTTTTATTTAACAACAATAATAATGCTATTAGCCTATAATAGAAAAAAGATAGTAGTACCATGCTTCTTCCAGCAGCAAATGTGGCTCCAATTTCCTCATTTTTTGGACTCTTTGGTTGTTGGCAAAGCAGGAGGTACCCATCTAGACAAACAAAAAGTATAAAAGTATTGCATATTATTAAAAAAGTTATGATTTTTATCCACCACTACCAGTTATCATGATGAAAGGTTCAGTTCGCCACCTACGTAAAGTATCACCCTGCATTTGAGAAACCAAAAGTTATTCTTTCATTCACCATAATTTTTCTTTCAAAATCTAGAAACAAACATGGGACATGGAAAAAACAAGTAATTAAGGAAAGTATGTGTACCTGAGCAAAGGAATAGAGCATCCAAACATACAAAATTTGCATTCGTCATTTGTTGGTCAAACCTGGAAGTCAAAATCGTAACATACTTTTGCAATCGGAATGGAGCCTAATTGGAATTGTAACATATTTTTGAAATTGGATTCAAGCCTGTGTTTGGAACGATTGAGGTTAATCGGAGTATTATGAACATATGTTTTCGATTGCCAGTCATGCAAAAGGTCAAAATTGAAATACAGTGAAAGACCTTACCTATGAAAGAATGAAATTAGGATTGATTTGAGCAGGTGTTCCTGCGAGTCAACCAGAAAAAAGTCAAAAATGATGTATTAGACCTGAATTGGTTTGATGGAAAAAAAAGTCAAAAGTTTTAGTAATCTGGAATGGAATTGTTGCTTTGTTTGATCCCAATTTGAGTTTGTAGTTAACAAAGAACATGTGAAAGAAAGTAGAAGAGGAAATCAAGAAATAATCGAATCTAATAACCTCATATTTTCAGTGAAGAATGCAGTCAAACAAAAAAATTGAACACCAAAACCTAACAATCGACCTTCGTTAACCATAACCCAACAAAGAAACAGACAAAAAATTGGAAAAACCACTAACCGAAACCAGACTAAGATAAATTGCAGAAGAAATCGATGTAGGTTTCTGCCTGGGAGTGAGAAATAGATTACGATCCATGGTGTAGAGTCAGTGACTATTGTGGTGACGCTCGCTTCTTGGTGAAGATGATGGCGGACGAAATCTGCGATGCGTAAACCTTTTCATGAAAGCAGGAAGAACAGATAGGTAGAAAATGTAATGGTGGTTGGGTGCGTTTAGGAAGAACTGATTTAGGGTTTTAGTGAGTAATTGGATCAGGTCCTCGGTAGGAGACGTTGGTGGAGATCTCTACATCTTTGGTGGAGACAATGAGAATTGGTTTGATGGCGGCTGTGTTTAGGAGATTAGGGTAAGGTCCGCGTATCCCATATGAGTTCTGTTTAATATTATTGTACCTGATGTAACACATGTTGTACCTCTTAATTTTCAAGAAATTGGTAATATGTTTAATAATATAGTAAAGATATATATATATATATATATATATATATATATATATATATATATATATATATATATATATATATACTAGCCGTTTACCCGCGCAAAGCGTCGGGCGGCAAAGAGTTTCTTTCGGAAGATAGTTTTATCAGTGATAATTAGTTTCCTTTAGACGTGAGCTATTTATTACGGCCATTTGGTAAACTATTTGGTGTCGAATAGTTCATTTCAACGGATAGTTTCTTGCTATGTGCATAATCATACAATACGACAGAAGTAGTTCAGCATCTTCATCTTTTGTCTCCATGCGTTGCTTCGTATTTGCATTTCCATGCAACTGTGATGCCTCCTTCACAATGTAATATTGGGGTGGAAACTCTTCTCCCTTGAAATAATTATCCAACATATCCTTCACTCCAGCAACATATCTCAACTGCAAAAAAAGATATATAAAAACTGTTGATGATTTGTTATATAATATAATATTTTTTTATGAATTGAAAAAGGGGAAAAGGAAAAAAAGTAAGTTATTGCATAAATGATTGTGTAAAAGTAAGATATAAAAACGTTCTGAAATAATTCACATAGGTATATTACACAACTTTAAAAAAAATATTAAAAAAGTAAGTTGTTACATAAAGGACTATGTAAAATATCCGATTAATTTATGTCTCCAAAATATAAATTTACAAATTTCTCAACCATATCCGTAATATAAAATAACTAAACATTAAACTTTTATATAAAGAAACTTAATCAATAGAAATAATCAACATTACCAAAAATGATAAGAATTATCAATAATAATAGAGGCAATTATCAACAACATTGTCACTAAATTTACTTATTTGAAAGCTTAATATTAATTAATTAAACCATGACCAAGGTCCAACAAAAAAAAGATCTTTGTGTATAGAACTATTTAAACAGACTCTTATTATCAAATGTAGCCTTTTGTGGTGTAGCATTACAAAAGTTTAACCAATAGACAATATAATGAATCAGTATACTTATACATGCAACATATATGATTCTGGTTGACTGACAATTTTAATGAATAGTATAAATAAATTCAGGAAAAGTAGAATTGATCATCAGGCTTGGATTTCTAAAGAAAATTATTGGATCAATATCCTACTAATATTATATAACACAACTGAGTAGAGAGATGAAATATAACTCACATTCTTGAAACTCCCGAGTTGTTAAAAAAACAACTACAGTCTGATGTGAAAAAGAAAACAAATAAGAGTTCTTCTCATCTCTTTTGAAAAGCGACCCAAAAACAAAGTAGAAAAAAAATCCGTAGCAATCTTTTATTTGGCTTTGTTCAGATAAGAGTGGTCTTAATTCTTCAAGATTCAAAGATATTTAATTTAACAGGTAATGTTTTGCGATCTTAAATATAGAAAAAAAAATCTAATAACAGATTAAAGCCTCCCAAACTGTAATCTTAAGTTATATAGACTTCTAGTCAGCTATTTGTTCATCTTGAACAACAACAAGAGGTATATTTGATTTTCAAGATCAAAAGAACTGATTAACAGCTTCAAATTTGGAGTTAATGCTTCAAACTTTTCAAGAAAATTTGATAGCTACCTAGCCTACCTTAAATCTTATAAGAAATCACTAAAAATTTAAGAATCCACTTTTAAAGTGGATACATCTACTATATTAGCAATTTGCACAAAACAAAAGAGAGGTATAGTTTGACTTTTGATATCAAAAGAACTAACTTATAACTTGAATTTGGAAATAATTCAACTTTTCGAAAAAAATCAGATAGCTACCATAAACTTTGTAACATACACAAAAAATTGGAAATCTTATGGTGTCAAAAATGAGTAATAAATTCCATTTCAAGTTCAAAGTTCCAAAATTAGGTCGTTGACCTTAATGTATGACAAGACTGGAATAGACAGCACTGGACTTGACAAACTTTCTAGGCTACTCTTGATGATGAGATTGATAAGGACATTCATGTCATTTTTCACAAAAGAGAGAAGGGCATAATGGTCAGATGGTGTTTTTGGAACATATAAAGTAGGTAATCCATTCAGTTGGAATATTAATGAAAAATATAAAATATAACACAGAAAGAGGAAAATCAATCTAAATGACCTGCTTAGACTCATCTTCGGAAGTGGTATTAGTTCTGCCATGGTTTATCCATGGTCTACACTTAATATACTTTCTTACATCTTCATCATCAATGTAGTTAACCCCTGGTTCATTCTTTGTTGTTTGTGAACTATTGTCTACTCTTTTTAGGGAAAAAGCTATAAGTGACTCAAAACCTGGTGGAATAGATGGAATTTCCATGTTCTCCTCTTTAACATGATGCCTGATGAGTTCTGTCCCCATCATGAATTGGTTTGCTCTTGGGACTCTTATTTCAGCTTTTTTGATATTTAAAACATGCTATCTGCATCAGCATTATCAGTAATAAGAAACACAACATGTGGTTTTATGCAGTTAAGCATTTATAATCATCAACAACACATAAGCAGGGGCGGTCCTACAATGGGGATAGTGGGGGTAGCTGCCCCCACAACAAAAAAAAAAATTAAAAAATTGGTTTTTTTCCAAAAAAATATTTTTTTTAACCATTCAAAATTATATATTTTGAACCTTCAAAAAAATTTGCCCCCATAAAAAGTTCAATTATTTTTTCCCCCCACATCGAAAATTTTTTGGGTCCGCCCCTGCACATAAGCATGTTCTATCAACAACTTATGAAGCTATTTGAAACCTGAAAGCAGTCTTCAAAACTCAATAATATAGGATCAATATAACTGAGACAAATATGTGATTATGAACAACTAAAATTCTAGCGCACTTGCATGTTCATAATCTCAAAAGTTTTTGCATCTACCTAATGCAGCTCAGTTCCAGATGTTGAAGATAGCTTTTAAAGCCTAATGACAGAATAAGCGAAAGACAAGTAGATTTAATATTCACAAACAACTAATCAGTTCAAAAACATATTAGATTGAGATCAACAGCACATCCCAGTCGGCAAGCATCAATCGATGAAATTAGGGTTACAAAACTATATAACGGATTTGCAATTAAAATAATATAGACTTGAACAGGTCTAAATCCGTAGGTTTGCTAGAAAAAAATGTGCATCAATAAAATAACCACATAAGGTTTACATCCAAGAAATCCCTAGATTGGAACAAAGTTAGGGAGCATCTGTGTTAATAAATGCGCTAAAAATAGAGAAGAACACAATCATATCAGCATATAATCGTTGCTTACATTGGAAAATATGATTTTATTTTCATACCTATAGAAGAGTTGATTATAACCTAGTGTATGTTTCGTTTCGTATGACATGGCAAAATCAAAGTATCCAAATGGGAAATTGAGCAGGGTTTTCTTTGGATCTTAGTACCCGGGGTAGAAGTAAACGGAAAATCTGTCCACCAAGATAATTCCAGGCCTGGAGCATAAAGCCTTTATGATGGCAATCGAGAGAGAGAGAGAGAGAGAGAGAGAGAGGCGAGAGAGATCACTGCATCTTTGGTGGGGGAAGTCGGCCGACGTTGGTGGAGATCAATGAATATTTGGTGGAGACGATGAGAAATGGTTTGATGGCGGCTATGTTTAGGAGACGAGGGTCCGTGTAGTGTGTAGTATAATGTATATGATCAGTGTAGTGTAGTGTAACTATGCTTAATATTATTGTACATAAGGCAATATATGTTGTACCTCTTAATTTTCAAGAAATAGGCAATATCCTTAATAATATAGTATATATATATATATATATATATATATATATATATATATATATATATATATATATATATATATATATATATATATATATATATATATATATATATATATATATATATATATATATATACACAAATACATACATAATACACATACATATACAAAAGACACATTCTACATGTAAATAAGTTCATAGAAGAGAGAAGGAGGAAGAAGGAGCTGAAGGGGGTTATATCTGCGAAGGGCATTAGCGGCGACGCCTTTTAGCGGCGACACGTTGAGTAGTAGTAGCGACATATAGAGTATTAGCAGCGACACCTTTGGGGGGAATTTTGATGGTCAAATTTTTTTAGTATTATTGGCAACATCTTTTGGGGGAAACTTTGGCGGTCAAAATTTTCGAGTATGAACGGCGACACCGTCGCTGCTATTGGTATATACATTATCGATTTTCAGTCGTTGGATTAGTGACAAAATCAACGGCTAAGGTTTCACCTCGTATTTCGACGCGGATTGGGGTCGTAGGCATTAGCGGCGACGCTTTTAGCGGCGACAACCACCTTTAGCGACGACACATAACGCGAAAATTATGTGTCGCCGCTAAAGGTGGTTGTCGCCACTAATGCTCATTATTCTTGTAGTGAATAACAAACAGAAGAGTAGATATATATAGATTTAATAACTTGAGCATAAAATATAATATTTGATTTGGAGATTTAATAACTTGAGCATAAAATATATTATTTGATTTAACGAATAGGGTGAGGTTCAATAGCAAACCATAATTAATCAAAAGCTAATTTTTTTTTTCAACTTTTAAAACTTGTTTTTTATAAAAAAAAAACTAAAAATACAAAAATTCATAACTTTTATCCTTTTTTCCAATGATATCAAATTCGATAAAAAAAATGTTTTTTTTTTCCGTCAAATTCACAATGTGAATCTAAATTCACATGCTAAATCCGAAAAATATATTTAACATTCACAATGTTAAGTTATGAATTTAGATATTTTTAGTTTTATTTTTCGATAAAGAATAAATTCTAAAACTTGAAAAAAAATTAGTTATTTGGAGAACCAATAATTATAATTCTTTAATATATCGGAGATTAAAAAGTTGTGCAAAGTCTTTTGTCGTTTAAAATATTATATGTGGTTTATTGAAAAACCATTATATTTTTCCATCAATAATATCATTGTTTTTTTTTCATAAAATATCTACAACGTGAAATTTGAAAAGAAAAAAAAAATACTAACATGACATTTGAACCAAAAATTCCTTATTATTTTAAATAAAAATGATACAAAATTCACATACTTTTTTTTTTGTTATTCCAATAGATTGAATTTTCATTATGGTTTTGAAAACATTCTTATATAAATATTTAATAAAAAAATATATACTTTTCATTTTTTTTTTTTTGGTGATATTAACATTGTGTTTTTTTGTTACAATTAAGTTATTATATTTCCAATTTGTTGTAATTCTGAATAGTTGGTCAGTTTGCTTACACTACAAGAAAAAATGGTATTAGCGGCGACAAAAATCGCCGCTATTGCTCACGGAAGTTGCCGCTAATACATTTATCGGCGACACGTCGTCGCTACTGCCATGTAGTTATTGCTCAAAAAGTCTCCGCTAATGCTCACTATCGCCGTTAATGATAATGTTGCCGCTAATGCTCTATGTCGCCGCTCTTGCCTTTTTTTATTTATTTTTTTAAAAGCAGCCATTTTCGACTGTTCAAAAACCGATACATGTTGAATGCAATAATACCGATAAGTTAAACGCAAAAAAAACGATTACATAACATCCAAATTTTATAAGACCATACATACACCAAAATAAATAACAAAATTCTTATAAATGTATGTTATACTACAATCTCTAATAAAAGATAAAACTAATACAACGTTTCATCATCACCGCCCTTCCTTCCTATAAGTTCCACAATATTCTCAAGATCATTGGACATTGATCGAAGATTCTCCAACCACATAATAAATAACAACATATAGATTTGTAAGTTAGCCTATTAACTTAAGCCAAACTAAAAAATATCAAATGATAAGAAAACTATCAATTACCAATTTATCTATATATCAACAAACTATCAAATTAAAGAACCAACTAACTAACACTAACCTTCTAAGTTAAACCAACAATCAAACTAACAAACCAACAAAGTAATAATTACCAATTTATCTACAAATACACATTACATAGGAACTATTATAGTAATTTAATTTAAATAACATTTTCAATAATAACATCCTACTTGTTTTTTGTTTCTTTTTTCCATTTTGACATTGTAGTTTACACATTGCATACAAATACACTCCAAATTGCATACAAGTACACACATACATACATTATACATATATATACATACTTTTTATACACATGAAACAACCATTAACACACACTCCAAATTGCATACAAATACACACATACATACATTATAAACACATATACATACTTTTTATAAAAATAAAACAATCATCAACATACTCCAAATTGCATATAAATACACACATACATACATTATATATATATATATATATATATATATATATATATATATATATATATACACACACATAAAACAACCATTAACACAATCCAAATTGCATACAAATACATACATACATAAATTATACACATATATACATACTTTTTATATACGCACATATATGAAATACACACACACACACACACACACACACATATATATATATATAATACACACAAATGCACACATATATACAACAAATTACAAAAAAAATGCACCTGTTGTTCCCAAAATTTTGCCCTCTTTCAACTGGTGGTGGTGGTGGTGTAACTTAAGACAACAAAAACCAACAAAAAAAAACAATTAGGTTTGGAATTTTGGTCAGAAGAGAAAGAGAAAGAGAAAGGAGGGAAGAGGGAAAATACCATCATCGTAAAAATAGTCATAGTGAAGGATAAATCCATGATGAAACAATTTTTGTGCAACTAATCACAAATACAAGTAGAAATCAATAGTAAAAGAAGGAAAGAAGAAATGAGGAACAAAAGTACAAACCATAGAGGAAATCGACAGCAACAGTGTCGGAATTAATGTTACACTTTAATCATCGGAGATGTGGAAGTGGGGAGTTTCCTGTCGTCTATAGGTGTCATCGGTATGTCTTCTAGCCTTTGGGAAACTCGATTGAGCGAAAATCTTCGAGGAGACTGGATATAACACAGAAAAATGAAAGTTGTGAAAGCAGAAAGAGGGTGTTATTTGCGTCGACCTTTAGCGGCGACAAAAGCCAATAGTGGCGACAACTAACGAGGGACCTATGCGACATCTTTTTTTCGACCTTTAGCGGCGACTATTTTCGCCCTATAACGGCAAAAAATTGTCGCCAGTATTGGTTTTGTGCGAAAATGAGGCCCAGGCCGTTGGATTTGATACTCGATCAGATGGCTGAGGTTTACCAGAAGGGGATAACACATATTCGGGCAACAAGGCATTAGTGGTATTGGTCGTGTCGCCGCTAAAATCCCTTGTCGCTGCTAATGCCTTGATTTCTTGTAACGTCCATATTAGTCGGTTTCCATTGGTGACATGTCATGCTAACTTAATACTATTTGTGTAACACCCGGTTTAGAAAGTGCTCGGTTATGGTCTTGGGGGCCAAGGGTAGGGGCGATACGGTCTTTTATGGGTCTCGGGTTTTATCCATAATATTTTAATACTTGGGTGTGTAGCTAGGAGTGTAGGGCATCTTGCCACCTTTTCGTGGATATAAAGTTTGTCGGAGACGGACTTAGAACGAAAAAGTTATAGTACTTTAAAGTTGTTGACAGAATTGGTCCCTGGATGGAAGGTGGACACGAGAGGCTCGGGGTAGAACGCCCAGCATACTGGAATTACGCCCAACGTAGTGCCCAAGACCTTCAAACCCTAATTATGCACTAATTAAGCAACTTCAGACCTAAGGCTCTTCATCCTTTCAGCCTCCACTGTACCTTAAGCCCTTTTTCGAAACCCTAGCTCATATTGGTGTGTTCTTGTGAGTTGGTAACCCTTTTGAGAGCATTTTGGTGTTGCTTTGGTGTTTTGGAAGAGGATGAAGTTTGAAGAAGGAGCAAGGATTCAAAGGAAGCTTGTAGATCCAGGAGATTAGCACCATTTCCGACTCATTTGAGGTATCAAGCTTCAAACTTAACCATGGCATGCTTAGTTAGAATGTTAGGGGTGTTTTATGGGTTATTTTGACTCCATTGTTGGGGTTTCTTGTATCTTGTTAGTTTCAGAGCAAAAGACTCGTCCTTTTGAGTCCTTAGAAGCACTTAGGGCCATAAAAATGCAACCTTTATGGTTCAAATGGACTCATGCAATTGTTAAGACCTTTCATTAAGCTCTTCTGAGCTCTAGAGTCCCATTAAGTCATTATGTAAGTAATTTTTCCAACTTTACGTTTTAAGTCATCCATGGGAATCAGATTTGGGGATTTTGACCGTTGACTTGAAGAATTAGGTGCTTAATAGAAAAAAGAGGATAGTAGGGGAGTACGTTGGGTGTACAACCTGGTACACGCAATGTACAGGTCACAAACCCAGTACGCCCTATGTACAGCTGAGTACGCCCCGCGTACTCAGTTAGAGTGGGCTTCGCACTAATGGGCCTCAGTTTGGGCCATTCTTTGGACTTGACTACTTTGCGCCTTAGTAGGCCATCTGGAATTGAACTTTTGGACCAAAGAAACATTATTGGGCCTTTAGTTAAGGCCCATGAGAAAGGATTGAGCCTAATTAGAAATTGAGCCACTAATGGGCTTCCATGGATTTTATGGTTTGGGTCTTTTGTATTTTGGCCTTCGGACTTAGTTATTAACCAAATTAGACTAGGGTAAAATGGTCATTTTACCCTAAGGATGATTATTGATTCGTACTAATTGTCGTGTTGGGTAATGGTAGTGTGGGGATTCGTGAGACCAGCAGTTCGGGGATCCGCCACCGACAGTCGTGTCATGTTTTTGTCTGACACAACACGACACGACAAGGTTTTGTATAACACGAACACGACACGACACGATGTCGTGTTTTTTTTACATTAACACGAAAATGAACCAATTAAAACACGACAACACGACACGACACAAAAAAGATAGTATTACATAACTATTAGTGTATTTCATTCATACTTAAAGATATATAACACGATAAAAACGACAAACACGAAAAACCCAACAACCACATGCTTAATCGTGTTAATTTTCTTGTCGATTTATGAACACAAACACGACACGACACGACATCGTGTTTTTTAATCTTGACACAAACACGAATTCAAATTTTGATTTTATCCCAATTTCGTTTCGTTTCGTGTATTTTTATCGTATCGTGTCATAATTTGTCATAATTTGACACCCATATCCGACAATAAAAGAAGGAAAGAAGAAATGAGGAACAAAAGCACAAACCACAGAGGAAGTCGACAGCAACAGTGTCGAAATTAATGTTACACTTCAATCATCGGAGATGTGGAAGTGGGGAGTTTCCTGTTGTCTATAGATGTCGTCGGTATGTCTTCTAGCCTTTGGGAAACTCGATTGAGAGAAAATCTTCGAAGAGAATGGATAAAAACACAGAAAAATGAAAGCAGTGAAAGCAGAAAAGGGGTGTTATTTGTGTCGACCTTTAGCGGCGACAAAAGCCAATAGTAGCGACAACTAACGAGGGACCTATTCGACATCTTTTTTTCGACCTTTAGTGGCGACTATTTTCGCCCTATAACGGCAACAAATTGTCGCCAGTATTGGTTTTGTGCGAAAATGAGGCCCCGACTGTTGGCTTTGATACTCGATCAGATGGCTGAGGTTTACCAGAAGGGGATAACACAAATTCGGGCAACAATGCATTAGTGGCATTGGTCGTGTCACCACTAAAATCCCTTGTCGCTACTAATTCCTTGATTTCTTGTAGTGTTCAGGTTATTCGGTTTCCAAAGGTGACATGTCATGCTGACTTAATACTATTTGTGTAACACCCGGTTTAGAAAGTGCTCAGTTATGGTCTCGGAGGCCAAGGGTAGGGGCGATACGGTCTTTTATGGTCTTTGGTTTTATCCAAAAGATTTTAAGACTTGGGTTTGGGTGGCTAGGAGTGTAGGGCGTCTCGCCACCTTTTCGTGGATATAAAGTTCGTCGGAAACGGACTTAGAACGAAGAAGTTATAATACTTTAAAGTTGTTGACAAAATTGGTCCCTGGATGGAAAGTGGACACGGGAGGCTCGGGGCACTATGCCCAGCATACTGGAATTACATCCAACGTAGTGCCCAAGACCTTCAAACCCTAATTATGCACTATTTAAGCAACTTCAGACCCAAAGCTCTTCATCCTTTCAGCCTCCACTGTACCTTAATCCCTTTTTCGAAACCCTAGCCCATATTGGTGTGTTCTTGTGAGTTGGTAACCCTTTTGAGAGCATTTTGGTGTTGCTTTGGTGTTTTGGAAGAGGATGAAGTTTGAAGAAGGAGCAAGGATTCAAAGGAAGCTTGTAGATCCAGGACATTAGCACCATTTCCGACTCATTTGAGGTATCAAGCTTCAAACTTAACCATGACATGCTTAGTTAGAATGTTGGGGGTGTTTTATGGGTTATTTTGACTCCATTGTTGGGGTTTCTTGTATCTTGTTAGTTTCAGAGCAAAAGACTCGTCCTTTTGAGTCCTTAGAAGCACTTAGGGCCATAAAAATGCAACCTTTATGGTTCAAATGGACTCATGAAATTGTTAAGACCTTTCATTAAGCTCTTCTGAGCTCTAGAGTCCCATTAAGTCATTATGTAAGTAATGTTGCCAACTTTACGTTTTAAGTCATCCATGGGAATCAAATTTGGGGATTTGGACCATTGACTTGAAGAATTAAGAGCTTAATAGAAAAAAGAGGATAGTAGGGGAATACGTTGGGTGTACAAGCTGGTACGCGCAATGTACCGGTCACAAACCCACTACGCCCTGTGTACAGTTGAGTACGCCCCGCATACTCAGTTAGAGTGGGTTTCGCACTAATGGGCCTTAGTTTGGGCCATTCTTTGGACTTGACTACTTTGGGCCTTAGTACGCCATCTGGAATTGAACTTTTGGACCAAAGAAACATTATTGGGCCTTTGATTAAGGCCTATGAGAAAGGATTGGGCCTAATTAGAAATTGGGCCACTAATGGGCTTCTATGGATTTTATGGTTTGGGTCTTTTGTATTTTATGGTTTGGGTCTTTTGTGAGTACCACAAGAGCAAAACCCATGATACCACCGAATATTATTTTCGTCATTTGTTTTATCCAAAGAAAAATTAAAAATTAAAAATTAAAGAATTATTATTTTTTAAATATACATGAAGTATTATAATAAAATATTATACTGTAAATATTTAAATCGAATTTTTTGAATATTAAAATATTCTTTAGAATATTAAACTATAAATATTCAACAATTCTAATAGAATATTAGAATATTCTAACAAATCTAACAATTCAAGTAGAATATTAGAATATTTTAATATACATACCAATTTTAGTAAAATATTAGAATATTCTGGTATTCTAAAAATTCAATTTGATTATTTACATAGTAATATTCTATTAGAATATTTTACTCATATTTTGAAAAAAAAATGGTGATTTAAAAAAAATGGATAAATTAAATAACGAAAATAATATTTAAAAAAATTTTTTTTGGTTTTTCCTTTTATTTTGCAATTTATAATTTTATTTTTTATTTTTTTGTTCTCCAAGATAAATGTCTAGGATCGCATTCACATGTCTCACAAAATTAATATGGTCTCAAATTAATATATATATATATATATATATATATATATATATATATATATATATATATATATATATATATAATCTCCATCTCTAATCTGTTACCCGCTAAGGCGGGGAATCTCCAATCCATTTGGGTCGGGTCCCCACTGGTAACGGGGAATCCCCGACCCGTTTGCATCCCTACATACATCATTTTACTTTCAAATTTCTAAGTGTACACGTTTGTTTTGAGGATACCGTTGTAAGGTAGTGATTCTATCAAATCTTTCTCTATATAAAAATGAGTCCATGTTGTTTCTCCAAGATATAAGTATTGTTGTGTTGTGTATTAATAATATTTGTTAAAAACGATGTTATATCATGTGGGTCTGGATTGAGAATTTTTCTGTTAGTTTATTTTATTTGGTTTAACTAAAAAAGTTTTCTTTAGTAGTTTCAAGTGGTTTTTTTTAAATCGTTCCTGATTTTTGTTTAAATTTGTTACAAATTTGTTTTATCATATTGCATTCTTAGTCATCAACTTGCATCTGAGTAATTTTTTGACAAGGAAATGTTCTAAGCTTGGAGAAATTTTTTGAATGCATTTTATTGCATCTTTAGCACATTTATTCCATGTATTTATCTTTAGGCTTTAAATCTCATGAATTTTGCATATTTCGGCACTTTTGGCTAAATTTTTGGAACCTTTTGATTTTGCAAACATTCTTTTGAGTTTTTAGGTGCCTTGAAGCTAGGAACACTCTCAATGTGTTATTGGAAAGTTGTTGATCAAATATTATGAATAACGGAGTTGATGTGCAAAAGTTGAATTTTTTTGAAGATTTTGACTTTTATAGAAGATTAAACGACTAAATCATGTGATGTTTGTACTTTGGCTCGATCGAGTCTGTCAAAATACATGTTTCGTCACTCAATAATTTTGACTCGGTTGAGTCAAACTTTGCCTTGAATTTGACTCGATTGAGTCAGGGTTAACATGGTTAAAAGATCTATCAAAACTGCATTTTTGGTCTTCGGGTGAGTTGACTTGGTCGAGTCTCTCTCATGAGTAATTTTGACTCGGCCGAGTTGGGGGTGACTTGGTCCCACCCTAGGATATTATTTTTTACCTTGGTAGTTTCATGAAACTATTTTCTTATAAATATTAAAAAGAAAATGTTCTAAACTAATCAAATGTCTAAAGACTAAAATATTTTTAAGATAAAAAGAAAAATCCATCTATATTTTAAATTTTTTCATCGATCATCACAAAAAGTTTCATTTTAAACCAGATTACTGTCAATTCTATACATACATACTACAAAATTTTTATATGATACAAACTTTGCTTTTTTGTATGACCTCCACCAAAATTAATGAAGTTATTTTTGTTGTTAGGGATCTTAAAATCCCAATTTCATAACACAAAGAAAATTTATAGTATGAAATTGATGCAAAACAAAAACAAAAACAACCAAATGTTCAAGAAAATTTTTATTATATTCAAGATACCTATAAAAAGGTTTCAAACTTTTTTATATAGAAGAATATAAATTTGACAGGTGTGCCAAATTTTGAAAAAGTGAAATTCACATTAAAAGATAATAAATAAAAACAGAAATTGCACGAAAATTGACAAAAAAAAAAAAAAAAAAAAAAAAAAAAAAAAAGAAAGAGAGAGAGATTTAGATGCCTAAACAGTGGAGTTTGAGGGACTTGAAATTTCTTACGGATCAAAAATTACATCCGTTTTTAAGTTGATCTTCTATTGGCCTCATTCGTCATGTTCCTATTTGTCCATAATTCTTCGGCGATATCTTCAATATGTTCCATATTATAAATTGAAGTGTTAGATTAATAAATGAGAAATTTTCAAAAATAATTGTTGTAATTTGTGAGGAATAGTAAAAAAAAATTACTTAAAAAGAAGGATCAATTTTGTAACAGATAACAAATAACGATTTAAGTGATAGTTATATTATAAAAACTGAAAATATTTGATAAGTTTACAAAAAGCCTTATATAAATATGGCTATATCTTTCTTTTTTCTTACAGTTTATTCCTCCCAAAACACTTTTACTTGTAAAGTTTCTAAACTTCTATTTTCATCATATTAAGATGAACAAACTTTTAAGAAATATACATATATAATCTTCGTGAGTATACATACATTTACTTTGTTTGTATTTCAAAACCTAGAAAGTAACTAGTAATTTTACTCGTAACATAGAATTCAAGTGAAAAACTACAATTATGGGATACGGCATACGTACATGGATACGAGAAGAATGAAATTTGCAAGCTTGATCCCCATTTCCTCTAGAAAATGATAATATGCATCTCTACGTCGTTTGCTGACAATCAACGTGCCAATTGTGATCCAGAAACCAACAGCCAATCCAACGATCATACATATCACTAGGATCCAATCAGTGCCATCAGGTTCGCCATGATCGTCATTAGCTCCCTTTGTATCATCAATTTTTTGTCGACACCCTGGAAGAGGAGCCCCACAAAGTGCATGATTTCCAATGAAACTAAATTCATTGAAGGTTTGAAGCTGACGCCCTGTCGGGATTGTTCCTGTAAGATTGTTGTATGATACGTTCAACAAACTCAAAGCCGTTAACCCAGCCAAGCTCAAAGGAATCTTTCCATCAAGATGGTTCACAGACAAATCCAAAGACTCGAGCTCTCTCATTTCATCAAAAGTGTTGGGAATGTTTCCTGTTAATCGATTTTGAGAAAGATTCAGGTAGCGTAACCCTGAAAGGGCCATAAGCTCATCAGGAATCGAACCAGAAAACTTGTTATCCGAAAGGTCTAATGTTGTCACTAGATAAAGAATGGTGCTATATGAAGAAACTCGTCCCTTTGTCACCAACGTGGCACTGCCTAGAAGTTGATTCTGGAAAAGAGAATCGTAAAGAACAATCGGACTGGACGTTTCTTTTCTAGAAATGACACTGAAGTTTGTAAAGCATTTCGGTAGGTACCCAGAAAGATTGTTATCAGCAAGATCCAAGATTTGTATAGAAGTGAGACGACATAATTCACTCGGGATTTCACCTTCTAATCCGTTGGAACGTAGACTGAGAATTTTTAAACTTGCATCATTTCTTCCTATTGATGTCGGTATTCTCCCAGTGAGTTCATTTTCGGCAAGCTCAACAATCAACAGGTTTTTGGAATTCAATAAAGACATTGGTATTTCATTCGACAACTTGTTATTTCCCATGTCTAGTGATTCCAGGGTAGGAATATTTCCCAAAGATGATGGGATTTTACCAGATAACTTGTTTTTCTCTAGGCTCAAGATTACTAAAGATTCCCAATTCATCCAACAATTCGGGAGACCACCTGACATGTTATTGTTGGCTAGATTAAGAACTCTTAGTTGTCGCGATTCTTGAATGCCATCACACAAGAACTGATCAAGAGACCCGGAAAGATTATTGTATGAAAGATCCAGGAAATCCAAGTCAGGTTTATTGAAATTACGAGGTAATCCCCCGGAGAAATGGTTTGAGCTTAGATCTAATACTGCTCCTGATGGAAGAACACTAACATCTCCCAATTTTCCGACAATGTTATTATGGGATATGTTCAAGAACGTTAGTGAAGAGAAACTACTCCAGATCCAATTCGGGATGGTGTCCGAAATGTTTGCGTTTGCTAAATCCAATTGTTCCAAGCTTGTTTGCGATTGAACCCACAAAGGAAAAAGTGGGCCCAAATTGCAAGAACCTAAACTCAGCACATTGAGTTGAAAAGGTGGAATCCAGGTGTTGACTAGGTCAAACGCTAACTTATTGTCCCCAACCCACAAAGTGTCCAAATCTGTTAGATTCGCGAAATGGTCTTCCGTCACAATACCTGTTAATGAATTGTGATGAAGAGTCAGAAAACTCAACTTCCCAAGTTTTCCAATACTTTTCGGAAGACTTCCATTCAACTTGTTATACGAAAGATCAAAAAATTTCACGGAGGATAGATCACCAACTGAATCTGGAATCCAACCCTCCAATTGATTTGTATTAAGCTGCAATGTCTGCAAGAGTGACAAACTTCCTAAAGAACGTGGAAGAATTCCTGTTAACCTATTGTATGCAATATCAATGCTGACCAGATTCTTCAATCTTCCTATCTTTTCTGGTAGTCGACCAGTGAGATAATTGCCACGTAAGGATAACAGCTCCAGTTTAGGTGACTCACATTCACAAAATCTTTCAAGAAGCTCAGACACATCACCAAAAAACTTGTTATACTGCAAATCAAGAGTTGTCAAATTGCAAAGATTACTTAAAGATTTTGGTATCACTTCAACGATTTGATTGTTTGATAAGTCAAGATGAACAATATTCAAAGACGGGATTTGAAGGTTGCAAAGAATGGGATCAGTAAGATTGCAGTTACCAGCATCAAGAAAACGGAGATTACTTAAGCTAGACAAGCTGTTTAGTATGGAAGAAGAATTAACAAAAGTGTTACCGAAAACACGAAGAGTCGTCAAAGAAGGCATACTATTGAAACCACGACGAGTTCCAGGATTTAAACCACCAATAAAGCAACCAGTAAGATCTAAAGAAACTAAATCATGAAGACTGAAAACCCACCCAGGCAACAAACCGTTGAAGTTGTTATACGAAAGATCTAAGACGTTAATGGAAGTAAAACTAACTCTGGTTGGGTCACTAGGAATTTGAGATAAACCACATGAACAAAAATGCAGTTCTTGCAAAGAAGGTAGAGAGTTGATCGCCTGAAGCCAGTGATCTGAAGCTCCGGTGAGGTTGATGCCACTCATATCCAGGTATTGCAAGCGCTTCAGATTCATCTCTATCCATTTTAAATTCTCTGATCGAAGATTACCGAGCATAGGATCATCATGAAGATCAAGAAAAAGCAACTCCGATAGATTCCCAAGGTGGTGAGGAATTTCCCCACCAAAATGCGACATTGAGATGTTAAGATATCTCAGATTCTGAAAAGAGCCAATGAATGATGGAATTGGACTGAATTCAAAATCGTTGCAACTCAAGTCTAGGTATTGAAGTTGTTCCAACTTGATCAAAGAAGGACTTATGATTCCTCCTAACATTTGTTTTGTTGCTTCTTCACGTTCACCATCATCAGGTCCACGAAGGTGAAGCTCCTGGACATGGTGGGTGAAGTTATCACAGACTACACCCGACCAACTGCAACAGTTGTCGCCGGACCAAGAAGAGAGGCGGTTGGAATGGTCTACCAGGTTGTTCTTGAACTGGATAAGCACCAATCGTTCCGTGGATATACATTGTATATGATCTGAGTTCTGATTACAGGAACACAAGGTGAAAAGTGATGAAGCAAAGAGTAACCAAAGGCAAGATGAATAAAAAGAAAATGTTACAAGTGTGAGAGCCTTCATAGCTGTGATGATTGATGCCAAAAAGGCTGTGTTTTATCTGATATATATATATATATATATATATATATATATTAATATATATATATATATATATATATATATATATATATATATATATATATATATATATATATATATATATAAAAGTTGAGAGAGAAAGAATAATTCCAAAACACATGCATGGACCACTCACTCAAAATCGAGAGGCTACCACAACTATACGTTTATTCGGGTTAACGACTTGATCATAAGATAATGCATTATGTCCGGTGTATGCGTCCCGTGTATACATATAGTCAGTAATCATAAAAAAAAAAAAAAAAAAAAAAAAAATTCAACTTAATCCACTTGTACAAAATTTTGATTTCACACTTAATCCACTTGTACAAAATTTCTCCTTGAAATCAAACTATTCATATATACGCAATGCCTTTTAATAAGTCAGTCAATGGAGATACGACCAAAGTGTGAAATAATGGGTCTAGAACCTTGTACCGTGTCCTAGTTGGAAATATATTATGTACCGTGTCCTAGTTGGAAAATTTTGGTTACACGGGTCAAAATAGAATTGTGCCCCTTGTCTACGGGTAATGTATAGCTTCTGAGATTGGACGGAGCGGGTACGGGGAAAGGAAGCGGGAGCCTTCCTGCCCGGCGGAACACCGCACCGTCGGCGCAGGGAAGGTGCGTGCAGGAAACGGTGAGGGGAGCCTCTCCCACTATCTCTCTCCTGCTGTGATTGGCTGGTTTCGTTTTTTTTTTTTATTTTATTTTATTTTATTTTTTTTTTTTGAAAAAATACTGTTACACAACGGTAGAAAAGGTACTTTTTTTTTGGCTGGTAATAATTACTTTTTGTTTATTTAATTTTTTTTTTTTTTTTATCTTTTTACAACTACTATAAATACATATACATAACTTTTAAACACATCAAATACTCTCTATACTCTCTCTACTTCATATCAACCAAAAAAAAAAAAATCCCAACAAACAAAACCCAAGTTTCGATCGACGGAAAAAAAGTCATGGTTCGAGTATAAACATCTCTCTTCGCAACATTTTTGCTATCGATTCATCCCAGCAAGGAGTTTACCGCCCCCAACTCGATTCTACCATTCAATCGCCACTACAATTCCAATACCAAAATGTTGGTCAATATTACCCGATGCAAGTTCCAAATGTTCAGTCACAAATGTTTTCAAACTTTGTTGTGTTTCCAGATCAACAATCGCCAAATCAACCTCAACCCCAAACTCAAACTGAAACTCAAATCTAAACCCAACACCACCACCAACTTGTTGATGAATTGGATGACGAGGAAGAAGAAGACATGGTTCCCGAAAGTTAACCAACACCACCACCACAAAGACGTAAAGGGAAAAAAACAAGTGTGTGAGGGTGTCGCACAACCGGGAAGACAAAAGTCGACAGTATGGGTTCCACACGAAGAGCTAGTTTTGGTCAAAGCTTGAGTGGATATTTCTGAAGATTCGATTTAGGGAAACGCACAACCGGGAGAACATTTTTTGTTTCGTATTTTAGAACGATTTCGACAGGAGCTAGTAAAAAGTGACGACTATCGTACTAAACATCAACTTAACTCAAAGTTTCGAGAAATAGCAAGGGGGTTTCAAAAATTAACGGGTTGTACAACAACCTAAAAACCCAACGGAAAAGCGGCCAAGGCGACGAAGAAATACTTCAAGTAGCGTTGCAAATTTACCTTGAGGAAGTCGGAAAACCATTCAAGTGGCACGATTGTTGAAAATTATTGGTCCGAAGTCCTAGGTGGATAACATACGAGCGGGATTTTATTTTTGGAGTCCAACAATCAAAGCGAACGAAAACGAGCTCTAGTGGTTACACAACCTCCTCCAATGCTCGGGTTGGTGTAGATTTAAATCAGGACGACGAACTCGAGCTAGAAGAAATTGTCCGGCCAATGGGTAGAGACAAAGCGAAGAGAAAGGGAAAAGGGACTTCTTCGAGTGCATCTGATTTCAGCGTGGACGTTGAGGAAATGCGGAAGATAACATCGTCGTTTGATCGATAAAATTTTAATTTCTCCGAACGTTTGGTTTTCGACAAAGAAAAAGAAGAAACAATGAAAAATGAGCGAGCGGTGAGACAAGAAATGAAAGACGTGAAGTTTTTGATGTAGAACGCCGATCATCTCTCGGGACCGGCTCTCGAGCTCGTTATGAAGAACAGGTAAAAAAATCTGAAAAAATATTTTCCGTAGGCCATTGGTGGTTTGTTTGATTTTTAGTTTATGTGTGTTTTTTTTTTAATTGTCTACTTTTTTTACATTTTAGGTTTAAAGTAAGTTTTATTTTAATTAATGAAATGCTTTTGATTTTTAATTAAGTTTTATGTTTAATATTAATTTAAAATTATAATTTAAAATTTTAATTAAGTTAATTTTATTTATATAAAAAAAGGGTGAGGGAAGGGTTTCCCACCTACTCCTTGGCTTTTAGGTGAGGGAAAAGAGAGTGGGGAAGGAAGGGTATGGCCCACCAAAAGTGTGGGAACCATACCTCCCACTCCTTCTATCACTTTGTTTTGTTTTACTCATGCATGACCAACCGCAAGCAACTTTTCTGCTGTATGTTATATATTAACATGTGTTATTGCTCAGCGATTTTGAATTTTGAGAGAGGCAAACGTTGAGTTGAGTATTAATCATCCTCACAATTTATAGATTGGATTAGTAGTGTCAAATTAAGTGTTAGAAATCACCGTCGCAACTTGCAACCAACAAAAGTATTAATCATCGTCCACTCCAAGAAAAATATAACTGAATTTTTACAAATATTTGGTTACTAATTAATGCTTGAAAGATGGTCATCATGTGTCATTAAGTTTCATCAAAAAACCACTACAATAGCATTTAATATATTTACAGACCAAATCTAGTGGCTATGCACAACAAGAATTCGGAGTATTAGGAACGTCGCTTTTTGGGACGACATAAGCAATAGCGGTGACACCAGAATAGATGCGCTTGATGTCGCCGCTAAAACATCATTGTCATCGCTATTACTGTCGTCGCTAAAGATAACCACCGGAGATCCGTCGGAGACATGCTACTTTCAATCGTGACCCTTGGTTTGGCAAATAATCCAACGGATAGGGTTTGTTCCTGCAATACGGCATTAGAGACTACCCCTTTAGCGGCGACACGTCGCCGCTAAAGGTGTCGATCCGTTGACTCACCCTTAGATCAAATCTGGCCCTACAATTCCTACCCAATCCAACGGTTGGTAATCGCCAGAAAGTGTGCGTATGATTCCCTCCATTTTGTCGCCGCAAATAGCCCCGTGTCGCCGCTATTAGCGTAGCCCTTTATGTTCCAATTCGTCTTCCCCAGACGAACATTTCCTCTCCTTTCTTTCACACCGGCGATCTGAAAATTCTGTGGCGACTCCCACCGCTGATTGCGCTGCAAACTCTTCTCCCACCGCCGATTGTCCTCCAAAACCGAGTCCCACTGGCGGTATAACCTCCATAGCGACTGCCACCTCCAATTCCGACGGAACCTTCGATTTCGTGCTCATATCTCCGATGATATTAGTTTTCAGGACCCAATTGTGTTTGCATTCTTCTTTTAACTCACATTAACACCACCGATTCTTATTTGAAGTGATTTGTTTTTTTTTTTTTCGTTCCAGCTCCTTCACCACGACTAAATCTTCACCACGTCTAGCTTTCATTTTTTCGGGCAAAAACAGGTTAGTTTGATCAGTTTCACTTGATGGAAACTGTGAAATTGTTTATTTTGAAGCTGTGAAATTGTTTATTTTAAAGCTGTGAATGATTATTTTGAAGTTGTGAAATTGATTTTGAGTGTGAACTGTGAAATTGTGAATTTGATTATTTGAAGTGATTTGTTTTTTTTCATTCCAGCTCCTTCACCACGACTAAATCTTCACCACCGTCTAGCTTTCATTTTTCTGGGCAAAAACAGGTTAGTTTGATCAGTTTCACTTGATGGAAACTGTGAAATTGTTTATTTTGAAGCTGTGAAATTGTTTATGAAGCTATGAATGATTATTTTGAAGCTGTGAAATTGTTTATGAAGCTGTGAAATTGATTTTGAGTGTGAACTGTGAAATTGTGAATTTGATTATTTTGATTTCTTTGGATTGATGGAAACTGGAAACTGTGAAATTGTTTTTGACGTAAATGACACCCAACGGTGGGTTGTTGAAAATGTTAATCATAGAAGAATTTGGGATCTACCGATGAATGATGTTGATCATGATCCCATTGAAAATGTCGACAATGATTCAACCGATGTCGTTCTTAGCAATGCTTCTTCTAATTTCACTATCTCAATTGACTTTAGCCAGTACTTTCAAAATTCTCAATCGGTTGAAGATGATATTGAAGTTGACCCACTGACGAGTATCATCAATAATGTGTCTGATTGCGAGACTGATTATGATGAGGAAGATTCTGATTATGATAGTGATGTATTGGCAGACACTGAAGTGTCTGGGGGCGAGAATGATTAAAAAAAATCTTTTTACATTTAATTAGTAACATAAGGTTTGTATTTGTTGTAATCATATTTTATATATATATATATATATATATATATATATATATATATATATATATATATATATATATATATATTCATATTGTGTTATAATTTTTCAGGATGTTATTTTTTCGGATTGCATTGCTTCATCTCATGGTTGCTGTGATGAGTCATGGAGGTGACGGTGGTGACGAACCACCACATCCGTTCGGTGGGAGTTTTGGTGATCACCAAAACGATGGTAATTAAAATTTATTCTAATTCATTGTATTTCACATTGTATGTATATATAAAATTATTCTGACTAATATTTTTTTATGCAGTGGTGCCTCTGAAACGGAGAGGCATGGCGGTAAATAAAAAAATGCACAAACTCTTTAAAGCTAACGGTGAACGGCCTCTTAAGATAGAATTTAACGTAAATATTAACATGTCGATTGGGGAGGTGTACGAATGTTTTATTGGGGAGGTTGGGAGCGATATGTGGCGGGACATCGGTTTTGATAAAGACACATGGACAGAGGTTTCTGAAGTCGAAAGGGTTGGAATGTTGCAGTATCCTTCGGTAAATTATTTATAAAGTTATATATTTAATATTTTTAATTTTGATTTATTTTTAATTTCTCTATTTTTTTGTAGAGATGGTTTGATTTTGACGCGTGATAGTTGATTTTATTTCCTTATTTTTATTAGTTTATTTTAGATTTTTAGATCTTTTTATCATTATTTCATTGTATTTTATTTATTTTTCTTTAGTATGGATCGTACTGGTGCTTTTTATGTTGCATGAGGAATTTTGCAGGGTTTTGGAGCTTGTTGCGGTTGCGGGTTGAGTGGAGACGGGCTTAGTGGGCTCCCGAGGCATTATTGGGCTTGGCGGAATCAAAGAAGAAGAATTGGGCTTTGAAAGTTATTAGCTTGGATTATTTGGGCTTGTGAAGATGGATCATAAATTTCTAATTTTGGGCTTGGAGCATCTATTTGGTGGCTAAATGATGATTGGTGGATTCAAATTACATGGACAGGGGGGGACCAAAGGAATCTTTGGTAGTGGAAGGGTGGAGTGGTGGAATGAAGAACCAATAGCATTTCAGCAACATTTGCACGGGTGGAATTTTCATCACGCGGGTACCCACGCAACTGTGCCCAGTTTGGGCATTTTGGTCATTTGGCACACCATAACCTTTGGGGATCAGATCTAGAGGCTCATTCACGATTTTCCACCATTGGAGACCTGCAAGAGGCGATTTTGGGAGCTAGAAACCATTTCTTTTCATTTTTCCAAATCTTAGGTAGTTTCTTTATGCAATAAGATTATTGTTCTTGTTACTTTGTTGCCATGAGTGGCTAATACTCATATTTGGTTGACTTTGGCTGAAAACCAATGAATGTTTGTGGGTTTTGAAGGATTTATGTTGATTATCAATTTATTCCATGTTTATGATTCTAGTTTACAATTATTATGCTTACTTGATGCTTTGATCATGAGCTTAGTATTTGATTGAGCAATGGTTGATTTGTTTCATTGATTTTGCATTGGATCATTGAATTTATCTAGAACAAAGGCTTTATGATGGTAGAAATCATCTCTAGCTTATGAATCATAACTCCTTTATGGATGTGTAAGCATTTGACATCCTCTAGGAATTGGGGATTCCTTCATTCTTAAGGCTAATTGATTTCTTAGGATTAATTGCTTCAATTGACCCTTGATCTTGATTAAGAATTTGTGTTGTGGGCTTCCCCAACCTCCATACTACCTATGAGGAATCTTGGCATATCATGCTTCATGATTGCTATAACCAATTTGGGATGAAGGATAAGCTTTGTATTAGATCCTAATGATAAACACACAAATGTTCGTTGTGTTGAATTGCCTTAGTTAATCAATTATTCTCAACCTTTGAGCATCTCATCAACTTGCTTAATTTCAAGGTTTTTAGTTATTCAAGTATTTTAGTTTTCAAGTAATAAAACACCCCTTTTTAGTTTAAATGTAGTTAGTTAGTTTAATTTCACTAGTTCTATTGAATTGCATTGGTGATTGAATACAACCATTTCCCCGAGGATCGATACCCCTTTTTACCATTATATTACGTTTATTTAGCAATCAAAGGGTGTAATTTGTTTGGTGGGCTTGACATCCCATCAAGTTTTTGGTGCCGTTGTCGTGGAAATTGGTTATTATTATTTGATTGTTTATGCCTAGGTCTACAAGAACCGGTGAACTACTCTACAATCCGGAAATTGAAAGAGAAGCAAAAAGGTTGAAAAAGTTAGCTAAACAAGCAAAGCAACAACAACTAGTTCAAGCTTATTCCTCTTCTCCACTAATCAACATAAAAGTTCAAGTTCATACTTCAAGTGATACCGACACCGAACCGAGTTCTCCAATTGTTGGTCATTCCTTCGAAGACATTCCATTTGAAAACCACATAGCCATGAATCACACTCCACCTCATAATCCCAACCCAAACCCAATGAATACCCCACCCCATCAACCAAGACAACAACCACAAGAACCTCTCATTGATATGTCACCTTGGAATCAAGCCCCTCCTCAAAACCAACCTAATTATCAACTACCACAACCACAAAACCAATACTTCCACCAAAACAACCAACCTCAAAACAGTGCTTTTCAAGTTCAACAATAAGTACATTACCCAAATCAACCCAATTACCAACCCCCTCCAATGTACTAAAACCAAATGTACCCACAACAACAAGCCCCATACGACCAATATCCTAATTACCAAGCTTATCCACCACCAATCTACAATCCCCAACAATACCCTTACCCACCTTATCATCAACCACCCATTTACTTGCAACAATATCCCAATAACCCCAATCCACCCAATCCCCCTCAAGAGTTGACACTTAGACAAATGATGGAAACGGATGTTACTCACACACCGCTTGCTATTGTTTATCCTGTAAACCGTCGAGGGATTGAATTGAAGTCAAGTTTCATCCATCAACTAACCAAATTCCATGGGTTGGATAGAGAAGATCCTCAAAATCATTTGAAGTCCTTTCATATTATATGTTTTAGCATGTTGCCCAACAATGTGACATTGGATGATTTCAAGTTAACCGCATTCCCGCTCACCTTGGAAGACAAAGCTAGAGAGTCGTTATTCAACTTACCACCAGGATCAATTCACACATGGCAAGAGTTACTCAAGGCCTTCAATAGAAAATTCTATCCCACCTCCTGCATTTCAAGTCAAAGAAGTGACATTTTGAGGATTCGTCAAGGGGAAAATGAAACATTTCATGATTTTTGGGAGCGCTTCAACAATTTGTGTACAAGTTGTCCTCAACACAATATACCCAAACAACTACTTCTTCAATAATTTTATGAGGGTATGAATGAAAAAGATTGGAGGATGATTGATGCTTCAAGTGGTGGTCACATCTTCAACAAAACCCCTCACGAGATCCGATTACTTTTTGGTACCATTTCTCAAAATTAAAGGAATTTTGGGACTCGAAATGACATGAAGAGAAATTCTACACAAGTGCTTGGTGAAGTTAGCAACACTCAACACTTGGAATCAAAGCTCTTGGATTTGACTAATGTTATAAGTCAAATGATGGTGGGAAATGGTCAACAATAGATGGTATGTGGTATTTGTGCAATGACGGGCCATTAGACGGATAAGTGTCCCACACTTGGAAGTGAACCGGAAGATGTGAATGCAATGGGCGGATATCAAGGACAACCAAGACCCATGGGATTTCAAAACAATTTCAACCCAAATTGGAGGAATAACCAAAACAACCCTTATCCACCAAATTTTTTGATGAGACCCCAACATCCACAATACCAATCCCAAAAACCTCCATATCCACAAAATTCTTATAACCCTCCAAATTACCAACAACCTCCACAACAAGGCCAATCAAGTGGTACCCATAAAATGAGCCTTCAAGAACTTGTCACTTCTCTTGCTCAAAGCCAAACCCAATTTCAACAAGAAACCAAGAATACTTTCTCCAACATTCAAGCACAAATGGGAGACTTGACAACCACTCTCAACAAGATAGAACAAAGGGGTAGACTTCCATCTCAAACCGAGAAGAACCCCAATGTGAGTGCAATAACTTTGAGAAGTGGCAAAACACTTGGAGAAAGCAACCCTAAAAGAGTTTCAAGAGAATAAGAAGATGAGGTTATTGTTGTTGAGCCTTCGAAGGTTGAAGCTACTCCAAAGAAACCGGTTGTGCCAAACGTTGATCAACCCGACTCTTCCAACAAACCCATCAAACCATTGGTCATACCACCTCCCTTCCCTTCCCGGTTAGCCTTTTCCAAGAAGATAGAGGAAGAAAATGAATTATTTGAAACTTTTTGCAACGTCCAAATCAACATTCCATTATTGAATGCTATTAAGAAAATTCCAAGTTATGCAAAATTTCTCAAGGATTTATGCACCAAGAAGAGAAAATTCAAGGCAAATGAAAAGATTCAAGTCAATGCAAATGTGTCTGCGGTTATCCAAAAGAAGTTACCTCCCAAATGCAAGGATCCAGGAATATTTGCTATCCCTTGTACCATTGGTGATTTGCATGTCGAAAGTGTTATGTTAGATCTTGGAGCCTCGATCAATGTGATGCCATATTCGGTTTTTCAATCTCTCAATGTTGAACCTTTGGAAGAAACGGGAGTCATCATTCAATTAGCAGAAAATTCAAGTGTGTCTCCAAGAGGAGTGTTGGAGGATGTGTTAGTACAAGTTAATCAACTTGTTTTTCCGACGGATTTTTATGTCATTGATCTTGAAGAGAAGACTCCTTCCAAATCATCTATGATCCTCCTTGGAAGACCTTTCATGCATACCGCTCACACAATCATTGATCTCCATAAAGGAAAGATAACTATGGAGTTTTATGGAGAAACCATTCACTTCAACATCTTTGAAGGAATGAGGTACCCTAGCAACATTTCTCCATTGTATTGGGTTGATGTGATTGAGACAATAAACAGGATAAGCCCTAATGTATACACAGACAAGATAATCATGAAAGACGATTGTAATCCTAAGAGGGAACCTCAAAGAAGATTGGATCCTCCAATGATGGAAGTGGTCAAGAAGAAGATAATTAAAAGGTTCAAAAGTTGCACAGAGAAGAAAAAGGCATTTCATGACAAGCACATAACCCAAAAACACTTTATTACGGATCGAAAAGTTCTTCTTTATCATTCGCGGTTAACGTTATTCCCGGGAAAATTACAATCTCGATGGCATGGACATTTCATTGTTAAAAAAGTGTTTGATCCTAGTGTGGTTGAAATCAAGAGTTTGGAAACAAGCCAAATCTTCAAAGTGAATGGGCACCATTTGAAACTATTTTATGAAGGCTTTGATACGGGAGAATTCGACAACGTAACAATGGAAACACCGATTTACGAAGGTTAACGGAAGCGGGGCTATGTCTTGGCAAAGACGTTAAATAAATGCATTGTGAATAAACAATATCCGTTTGAAGTTTTGGGTGTTTCTAAACTTGAATTTGGCCTAAAATAATCATCTAGAAGTCTTCTAGTGATTTTTGTGAAATTTGAAAATTTCCAAAAATTTGACTTTTGCGCGGGTGCCCGCGCAGACTTTGCGCGACCGACCCCAGCCGCACAGGTCCCAAGTTTCAAATTGCACCAACATGGGGTGCTCTCTGATTGCTACGCGCGGCCAGTTCCCCACCCGCGCAGCCGTTGCGCGACTGCCCCCCACCCGCGCAGCCGTTGCGCAACTAACCCCCAGCCGCGTAGATTCCGAGTTCTAAATTACCCCCACATGGGATGTATTCTGATGTGTGCGCGCGGCTGCCCCCCACCCGCGCAAAGTTTGCAAGGGTACCCGCGCAAATATGTCATTTCATAAGAAAATTTTGAGCCATTTCATATGCATCCTTTGCGCGACCAAGCTTTCATCCATGTGTATTTGGGCGGCCAAGAACTCCATCCAAGCATCATTATGTGACCCGTGTGTTGCTTCCATATCGTCCTCGCGTGCCTCCTCCACCTTGATCCCGGTATGATCCTTCCTTACTCTCATCCTAAGCATTGAGGATAATGCTTAATTTTAAGCTTAGGGTGAGGTATTTCTTATCTTTTGTTTTTATTGCATTTGGGCTGTAGATAGTTGCATCTAGACTAAGTTATTTAGGTCATTCATAAAAAATTGCATAAAAATTTCAAAATTTTGCATATTTTGTTTCTTTCTTTTCTAATTGTCATACTTTTTAGATGCATTCTAGGTTAGGTTCATGCATTCTTGTTCTCTCTTGTCTTCTCATCCCTACATATACCATAGCGCCGAGTCATAAGTATTGAATCATAGATTGGTCTCGGGTCTTGATATGGAATTCCTTGTATTTGATAAATGGGACACGTTTTGAGCCTCACATACCACATTGAGATCACTTGTGTAGGGGTCAGATGCAGGTAGCTTGATTGGGTCTAGGTGCGGAGGGATGTGGTTGGTCATCCCAATGTGTGCGAGCAAAGACTAGCCCGGTAAGGTATTTTGAAGACATTGAAGATATTGAAGACTCGCATCTTGGTTTTGGGGGGAGTACACCTTAGTACTCCCAAGTCTCGTCCGAGCCTTACTTGGTTAGATTTTCACCACCTTTTTAAGACAGGTTATTTTTTTATGAGTCTAGAGTAGATAGCTAGATAGATTTTGTTTATCACACCTTGCATTGAGGTGCTTGATGAACTTTGAAGTGGGTCCCCTAATTCACATCTTTTGGGACCAAGTTTTTTCGGTAACACCCATTTTTGAGTCATATCCCACCCCTTTTTAGTTGATCTTGGCACATTGTCAATGATCATTAGGTGTTCATGTTAGCCTCTATCTATCACTCAATTTTCACTATTAGAGTCATATGTTACATGGTGAAATTCCTTAGACCTTCCAAGAAGAAAGCTAAGTGGTTAAGAATGTGGTTTATAGCTTAAAGTGCCCCCACTAGGCGCATCTCTGTTTCCTTTGTCTTGCAGACCGCGACCGCATCCAGCCGTGATCTATTCGCCCATCATGTGGTTAAGAATGTGGTTTATGGCTCTAAAGCTGGGAACATTTTGAAGATGCGTAGGGTCCATTGAAGGACTAATTCTAACCATGTTGACTGATGTTGACCAAGTTCTATGGTATCTTTCTTTTTCCGTTTTAGATAGTTCATCCCGAGCTCATTTTTAGTCTTGTTCTAACTTGAGGACAAGTTAGGTTTAAGTTTGGGGTGATTTGATAGCTGATTTTATTTCCTTATTTTTATTAGTTTATTTTAGATTTTTAGATCTTTTTATCATTATTGCATTGTATTTTATTTATTTTTCTTTAGTATGGATCGTACCGGGTGCTTTTTATGTTGCATGAGGAATTTTGCAGGGTTTTGGAGCTTGTTGCGGTTGCGGGTTGAGTAGAGACGGGCTTAGTGGGATCCTGAGGCATTATTGGGCTTGGCGGAATCAAAGAAGAAGAATTGGGCTTTGAAAGTTATTAGCTTGGATTATTTGGGCTTGTGAAGATGGATCATAAATTTCTAATTTTGGGCTTGGAGCATCCATTTGGTGGCTAAATGATGATTGGTGGATTCAAATTACATGGACAAGGGGGGACCAAAGGAATCTTTGGTAGTGGAAGGGTGGAGTGGTGGAATGAAGAACCAATAGCATTTCAGCAACATTTGCACGGGTGGAATTTTCATCGCGCGAGTACCCACGCAACTGCGCCCAGTTTGGGAATTTTGGTCATTTGGTACACCATAACCTTTGGGGATCAGATCTAGAGGCTCATTCACGATTTTCCACCATTGGAGACCTGCAAGAGGCAATTTTGGGAGCTAGAAACCATTTCCTTTCATTTTTCCAAATCTTAGGTAGTTTCTTTATGCAATTAGATTATTGTTCTTGTTACTTTGTTGCCATGAGTGGCTAATACTCATATTTGGTTGACTTTGGCTGAAAACCAATGAATGTTTGTGGGTTTTGAAGGATTTATGTTGATTATCAATTTATTCCATGTTTATAATTCTAGTTTACAATTCTTATGCTTACTTGATGCTTTGATCATGAGCTTAGTATTTGATTGAGCAATGGTTGATTTGTTTCATTGATTTTGCATTGGATCATTGAATTTATCTAGAACAAAGGCTTTATGATGGTAGAAATCATCTCTAGCTTATGAATCATAGCTCCTTTATGGATGTGTAAGCATTTGACATCCTCTAGGAATTGGGGATTCCTTCATTCTTAAGGCTAATTGATTTCTTGGGATTAATTGCTTCAATTGACCCTTGATCTTGATTAAGTAGGTGTGTTGTGGGCTTCCCCAACCTCCATACTACCTATGAGGAATCTTGGCATATCATACTTCATGATTGCTATAACCAATTTGGGATGAAGGATAAGCTTTGTATTAGATCCTAATGAAAAAAACACAAATGTTCATTGTGTTGAATTGCCTTAGTTAACCAATTATTCTCAACCTTTGAGCATCTCATCTACTTGCTTAATTGCAAGGTTTTTAGTTATTCAAGTATTTTAGTTTTCAAGTAATCAAACATCCCCTTTTAGTTTAATTGTAGTTAGTTAGTTTAATTTCACTAGTTCTATTGAATTGCATTGGTGATTGAATACAACCATTTCCCCGAGGATCGATACCCCTTTTTACCATTATATTACGTTTATTTAGCAATCAAAGGGTGTAATTTACTTGGTGGGCTTGACATACCATCAACGCGATTACAAATCATCCCATGGCTTCAACTTATTGGGCATCACTGAAAAATCGGATATGTTCGCGGTATAGAGGCCGCAAAAATATTGCAAAAAACCGTTTTCGATGATTTTGCAGGGAATGTGGAGGCAGCAAGGGCTCAAGCCCCTATGGGTATGGATCAACAGCGTTGGAAGCTGCTATTGAACAATTTTTAACAGAACAACATCAAAAACGATCCGCTAGAAACAAAGAATGCCGGAAGAAGCAAGTAGTGAAGAATCGTGGAGGGACGTGCAGCTACGGTAGTGCTTGTTTCAAGAAAGTAAGTTACAATAATGTTTATTCAGTTATAACATATTTTTTAATGTTTATTCAAATATAACATATTTTGTAATGTTAAACATAATTTGAATAGACTTGAAGTATTTCATCGTGCGCATGTAAATAAAAAAGGGGAATTTGTTGATCCATTGGTTGAAGAGCAACATGTAAGTTATTATTACTTAAAAATGAAGTAGATTGTTGAATTTTTTTTGTTAGTTTTTAACGTATATTAACAATCTTTGTGAAAGACATAATTCTTAGTTGTTGAGGTTGCTCTACAGACTCATCACATAGCCGACTCTGGTGGTGATCCAGACACCATTGATTGGATCGCAATACTCGAAGGGGGCATGTGAAAGGCATTGGGCCTAAAGTTACGGGTACAAGTGCTTCATCCCAATGGCAGTCACAGTCATAAGCATCGCACCCAACACAGGTACTTGTTAAATTCTTAAAAAATTTGGTTGCTTTGTTATATTGTTAAGAACTTAATGTATTTGTAGTAATTTTTGGTACCTCGGTAGTTTCTTAAATTGTTATAGACTTAATTGATTTGGTGCTTTGATGGTTTGATAGTTTGTTGAATTGTTCATAACTTAATCTGTTTGTGACTTAATTGTAGGATGTTGATGTGAATGATTTTCTTCAAAACCCGGCATTTGTGACGGCCATTGGAGACATTTTTCGCTCGTTTAAAAACCAAGTCAACGAGGAAAACAACGATGGGGAGGACGGTGGGGAAGACGAAGACAACTAGTATTTCTTGTTTTATGATATGGAGGATGTTATTTTTGATTTGGAAAACAGTTTATGTATGATATATATTAGACGTTTGTTTGAGATTTATTAGATATGGTATGTTTGATGTTTGTTTGGAAAAAAGTTTATGTAATATTATATTTTTGATGTTTTTATATAATGTGGTATGTATTTATTTATGTATTTTTATCAAAACTGCATTTTATAATATATATATATATATATATATATATATATATATATATATATATATATATAAACTAATATTATAAAAAATAAGTTTTTTATATAAAAAAAAAAAAAAAAAAAAAAAAAAAAAAAAAAAACACATTAGCAGCGACGCCTTTAGAGACGACTACTATCAATTGTGACGACGAGGACCTCCGGTGAGTATTGCCAGAAAAACTCCTACCGGTGGCCGGAATATTAATAGGGACGACACTATTTGAGACGACAGTGGTGTATTAGGGACGACAATTATTAGAGACGACAGTATTAGAGATGACATGGGGCTATTAGCTACGAGCCAATTGCGGCGCCGCATTAGTGACGACCCGTTGTCGCTAATAGTATTAGCGACGACAGACATGATCAATTGCGACGATTTTTGTCGCCGCTAAAGGTTAGTATTTTTGTAGTGATGATATAGTAGAAAAAAAAGGTAAATTGTAGTCCTAATTAGAGCTAACAAAATTGGCAGTATAGTTAGAATTTTAATTTCAACATGTTTAAGTTGAACAGGTCAATCCGGGTGATGAATGGATGTATTAGACGAATCAGATAAGTAGACATATTTGATGGATCAATTGGGTAAATGGATTTTATTGATGAGGTCAATAAATCAAAAAAAAATGTTAGAAAGACAGATGAATGGATCAATTGGGCGAATCAAATGGATTGGATAGGTAACCATGTCATCTGCAACAACAATTTTCTTATAAGATTTGGTTGCAACTAGTCAAGAAATATTTTGTAAATATTATAAAAATTCAACCGAAATTCATTGTAGTTGAGATCCACATATATTATAGGTTTTACTGCCCACTTTCCACATAATGCTACTTAAATTGCATGTAAACATACATCTTCCTCCAACATTTTTTCTCATTTCTCCTTCCACCACTCTCTTAACAGATTCACTAATATCTCCTACTCCCCATGCTATTGATATATGAGGCTGAGGATCCTGTAGTGTCAAATAACACAACATTATTTATGTTATAATCTCACATGTAAATCAAACAGGACTTATTAAGTCTCTATCAACACTAACACTAACTAACCTTGTAAAATTCAGGAAGATTGTGCAGCTTGTAAACCTCATTAACAACTTGAATCTGTTTCGTTACCTCGGTTACACCTCGCGTTGTATTTTCAACCTAAAGAAATTTACGTGTATGATCATCATTCACAAAAACTTCCCACTTGTTGAAATCAATCACATACTTGTTTCCAAAACATACAAAATAACTAAAAATGACTAATTCCAATTTTAAAAGTTTGATAGTGAAGATTGAAGACAAAATTAGATAGCTAGCCACATCATCCTTATAGCCATGTCATCCTTTTTTACTGGTGAAACCGGATAAAAAAATAGTTCAATACCATTTTTGGCATGTCAACATGGACTTTATACCTTAGAGTGCCAAAAGATTACATTAGGGACCTTTTAAAACAAAAGTGATGGCTATAATGATATTATCCTTTATTTTTCCTAGAACAACTTTACAAGTTTCTAAATCTATATATGTTTTCACTATATTTGTATTAACAAAATTTGAGAAAAATACAAAAATATTTTTGAGATATAATAAATGTAGTTCTGTTTGAATCAAGGTTGTCAAGATCGGGATCCTACTTAGGATCGATTTTGGGTTTGCAAGATCGGGATCGTAAGATCGGGATCGAGATCCTAAGATCCCACAAAATAGAATATAATTTTAATTTATAATATTTAATCATGAAAACTATTTCAAACATTTAGTTTTTCATTCAAAAGTTATAAAAACTTCAAAATATTAGTCATAAATTACAATAAAAAATGATAAATGGTAAATTGGTAAAGGATAAAAGGCATAAAGTGGTAAAAAAAAATTTCATTTGCAAAAAAAAAAAAAAAAAAAAAAAAAAAAATCAAAGGAAGGTAGGATCGGATCGGATCTCGATCCTACGATCTTACCTGCGATCCTACCCCAAATACGATCCTTTTACAATCCCGATCGTTTTTCATACCTAGGATCGTAGGATCGTACGATCCTACGATCAGGATCGCGATTTTGACAACTATGGTTTGAATGTCAAAACATAGGAAGTATACCAGTAACTTAATTCATCATCGTAAACATGGAACTTACATTGGTACATACGTGAAGAATGAAATTTGCGAACTTGATCCTCATTTCGTCTAGGAAATGATAATATGCATCTCTCCATTGCTTGCTGACAATCAAAGTCCCAATCGTGATCCAAAAACCAACAGCCAATCCAACGATCATACATATCACTAGGATCCAATCAGTGGTATGATCAGATTCATCATCATTGTTAGTAGTTCCACTGGTAACAGGCTGACACGATGCAAGAGGATCCCCACTAAGTGCATTTCCAGTGAAACTAGTTTATTGAAGGTTTGAAGCTGACTTACTGTCGGGATTCTTCCTGTAAAAATTGTTGTATGATACATTCAACAATTTCAGACCACTTAACCCAGCCAAGCTTAAAGGAATCTCCCCATCAAGATAGTTCACACACAAATCAAAAGTTTCAAGCTCTGTCATTTCACCAAAAGTGTTGGGAATTCTTCATGTTAATCTGTTATGTGATAGATTCAGGTAGCGTAAGCCTGGAAGTGACACGAGTTCATTTGGAATCGACCCAGACAAGTTTTTATTGGAAAGTTCTAATGCTGTCACTTGATAAACAATGGTGCTATATGAATAAAATCGTCCCTTTATCACCAATGATATGTTGCCTGGTTGTTGATTCTTAAATCGATCATAGTCATCATACGCGGTGGGCTTCGTTTTTCCAGAAAAGACACTCATGTTTGTAAAGCATTTCAGTAGGGACCCAGAAAGATTGTTGTCAGCAAGATCAAGATTTGTATTGAATTGAGACCACATAATTCATCCGGGATTTTACCCTCTAACTTGTTGGAGTGAAGACTCAGAATTTTCAAACTTGAATCATTTCTTCCTATTGATGCTGGTATTCTCCCCGTGAGTTCATTTCCAGCTAGCTTAATAACCAACAAGCTTTTGCAATTCAGAAGGGACAGCGGTATTTCACCCGACAACTTGTTATTTCTTATGTAAATTGACTCTAAAGAAGATACCTTTCCCAAAGATGACGGGATTCTACCCGATAATTTGTTGTTCTCTAGGCTCAAGATTACTAAAGATTCCCAATTCATCCAACAATCAGGGAGACCTCCTGATATGTTGTTGTTAGCAAGATTAAGAACACTTATCTGTTGCGATTCTTGAATTCCAGAACGCAAGAACTGATCTAGAGACCCAGAAAGATTATTGGATGAAAGATCTAAGTAATACAAATCAAGTTTACTGAAATTACGAGGTAGCTCACCATGGAAATTGTTAGAACTTAGATCTAATACTGGTCCTGGGCCAAGAAAAGTAGTAACATCTCCCAATAATCCTGTAATGTTATTATGGGATATGTTGAAGTATATAGAAGGGAAAATACTCCAGATCCAATTCGGAATGGTGTCTGATATGTTTGTGTTTGCTAAATCCAACCCTATCAAGTTTGTTTGCGATTGAATCCATGAAGGAAAAAGTGGGCCTAAATTGCAAGAACCTATTAGCAACTCATAGAGTTGGAAAGGTGGAATCCAGTTATTGACTAGGTTAAACGCTAACTTATTGCCTCCAACCAACAAAGACTTCAAGGTTGTTAGATTGGCGAAATGGTTTTCCGTCACAATACCTGTTAATGAATTGTGATCAAGTATTAGATTACTTAGTTTCCCCAGTTTTCCAATACTTTCAGGAAGACTTCCATTCAATCTGTTGTACCGAAGATCCAAAATTTTCAACATCGATAGATTACCTAGCGAACGTGGAAGAATCCCTGTTAACATATTGTATCCAATATCAATGCTGGCCAGATTCTTCAATCTTGCTAGTTTTTTTGGGAGTCGACCAGTGAGATAATTGTGACTTAAGGCTATCAATTCCAGTTTAGGCGACTCACATTCACAAAATCTTTCAAGAAGCTCAGACACGTCTCCGGAAAAATGGTTAGACTGAAGATCAAGGGTAGTCATGTTACAAAGACTACTAAAAGATTTAGGTATCTCCTCAACTATATAGTTGTATGATAGGTCAAGATGAACAATATGAGACATGTTCTGAAGTGTGCCAAGAATTGGATCAGAAATATGGCAGCCAGTGACATCAAGAAAATGGAGGTTCCTTAAGCTAGACACCCCGTTCAATAAGGAAGAAGTATTTACAAAAGTGTTGGTTGAAACAAGAAGAGTCGTTAAAGAAGGCATGTTCTCAAAACCACCTTGACTTCCGAGATTTACACCACGGATAAAACAACGAGTAAGATCCTGTTAAACATCATCACTAGCCCAATAAGAACAAATATTATCTAGAAGAGTTTAGCTTGTTCTGGAATGTTCTAGAAGATTCTAGAACATTATGGAAGACTATGGAAGACTCTGGAATATACCAGAAGAGTCTAGAATACTCTAGAACGACATGGAAGACCCTGGAAGGTTATGGATCATTCTAGAAGACACTGGAGCAACCTAGACCCCTCCAGAACATGATAGAACGTTCTAGAAACATATGGAAGCATGTAGAGTATGTTAGATAGTTCTAGAGTTATCTAGTATGTAGTAAGTGTATGCTAGTATCTAGAACGTTCCTAAGAGGCCTATAAATAGGTATGGAGCTCATTTGCTCCAAACCATCCAAGAAAGCCTCAAAGAAAGCAAAGTGTATAGTAGTCTCACAAAGTGTAAGTTCTCCTTAAGTGTCTTAATAAAAGTCTTGTTGTTTCCCATATAAAGAGTCGTGTTCAACAGATCCAACATAGTTAATTTACGAAGACTGGAAACCCACCCAGGCACCAAACCTTCGAAGAGGTTATACGAAAGATCCAAGACCATAAGAGAAGTAAAACTAACTCTAGTCGGCTCGCTAGGAAATTGAGTTAAGCCACATGAAACAAAGTGCAGTTCTTGCAAAGAAGGTATAGTGTTAATCGCATGAAGCCAGTGATCTGAAACTCCAGTAAGGTTGATGCCACTCATATCCAGGTACTGCAACTGCTTCAGATTCTCTATCCATTTTAAATTCTCCGACTGAAGATAACCGTCTTTAAGATCCAAAAAACTCTGATAGATTCCCGAGTTGATGAGGAATTTCCCTCGAGAATTGCGACATTGAGATGTTAAGATATCTCAGATTCAGAAAAGAGCCAACGAATGATGGAATCGGGGTGAATCCAAAATCGTTGCAACTCAAGTCTAGATACCGGAGTTGTTCTAACTTTATCAAAGAAGGACTTATGATTCCTCCTAACATTTGGTTTGTATCATTAATGTCAAATGATGATCCAAGACAATAGCCTTGCCGATCAGGTAGTCCACGAAGGTGAATCTCGTGGACGTGATGGGTGAAGTTATCGCAGACCACACCGGACCAACTGCAACAATCGTCACCGAACCAAGAAGAGAGGCGGTTGGCACGGTCCACGAGGTTGTTCTTGAACTGGATAAGCACCGATCGTTCGGTGGCTATACATTTTACTTCATCTGAATTCTGATTACATAAACACAAGGTGAAAAGTGATGAAGCAAAGAGAAGCCAAAAGGCAAGTTGAAGAACAAGAAACAGCGACACGTGTGAGAGACTTCATGGCAGTGAAGATAATACAAAAGGTTGTGAGAAGAAAGAATTCTTCAAAAACAAACGGACCACTAAAATGAAATTTAGTCTCGATTAATAATCAAACCACTACAACCAAAAAATTTGTTGATTGTGACACTATGACGTAAATATAATATTAATTTCAAAGAAATTGTTTTATGTAATATTTTGTTTTTTTAGTGTTGTTTAAGGTATATGTTAAGATAGATAGAAAAAGTAGATAGGAACGAAATTTGCAATAGAGATGAACTTTCCTGGGAGAATACTAAATATGGAGCCTAGTGAAATTGGGGTCAAAAGTCAAAACTCAACAAACCAGAGTCCACCCTAAATTCAGTCAATGTGTTTTTCTTATAAAATGTAATATATGAATATAAAAACTGTAAGTATTTGATTTTATCATTTTATGGGTTTCTCGTGTTTGACAGATTTTTTGAGAACTTTTAATAACTTCAATAAGTTATTTAAATAAGAAAAGCTTCTTCGGAAGTATGAGATTAAAGTCTAAATTCAAAAATTACTTCAAGTTTTTTCTTTTTATAAGATTTTAAGTTTTAACTTTTAAATTTAATATAATTAACATATCTCAAAAGCTTACAGTTATATTTGCCCAATATTTATATAAACTAGAAAAAAACTCATGTTACGTAATGGGGTCAGGTTTTTTTTTATGTATTCTCATCAATTTAGTAAAAGCCAACAGAAACAATTTTGTAATTAGTTTTGTATATAGGGTCAAACCTGTCAAAATACAAAAATCTTATACATATGGATTGTATTTGAAGAAAAAACTTTACGAGGATTTTTTCTATAAATTAAAAAATTATCTAGAAGAGTTTAGCTTGTTCTGGAATGTTCTAGAAGATTCTAGAACATTATGGAAGACTATGGAAGACTCTGGAATATACCAGAAGAGTCTAGAATACTCTAGAACAAGATGGAAGACCCTGGAAGGTTATGGATCAATCTACAAGACACTGGAGCAACCTAGACCTCTCTAGAACATGATAGAACGTTCTAGAAACATATGGAAGCATGTAGAGTATGTTAGATAGTTCTAGAGTTATCTAGTATGTAGTAAGTGTATGCTAGTATCTAGAACCTTCCTAAGAGGCCTATAAATAGGTATGGAGCTCATTTGCTCCAAACCATCCAAGAAAGCCTCAAAGAAAGCAAAGTGTATAGTAGTCTCACAAAGTGTAAGATCTCCTTAAGTGTCTTAATAAAAGTCTTGTTGTTTCCCATATAAAGAGTCGTGTTCAACAATCTGGTATCAGAGCAAGGTTTCTTGATAGTGAGAACGAGTGATTCTTGTTGTATTGTGAGTAGTTTGTGACTCTGCAAGTTTAGTATCGAAACTAGCTTGTTTGGTATTACCGAGGTACTGCGAACACGATGGGTGATCTCCAAGTCGTCGGAGGAATCAAGAAACTCAACAACAACAACTACAAAACGTGGGAAACATGTATGAAGTCCTACTTACAAGGACAAGATCTATGGGAGGTCGTTGGTGGACGCGAAACTACGCCACCAGAGGAAGACGTTAATGGTGCTTTGCGCAAATGGAAAATCAAAGCAGAAAAAGCAATGTTTGCCTTGAAGACCACAATCGAAGAAGAGATGTTGGAGCATATTCAGGATGAGAACACCCCGAAAGAAGTTTGGGACACGTTTTTGATGCTTTTCTCAAAGAAGAATGATACAAGACTACAACTTTTGGAGAACGAGCTATTATCAATCTCACAACGTGACATGACGATTGCTCAATATTTCCACAAGGTCAAGTCGATATGTCGGGAGATTACTGAACTAGATCCGCAATCCGTCATTGCAGAAGCTCGAATGAAGAGGATCATTATCCATGGACTGAGGCCGGAATATAGAAGCTTTGTTACTGTTGTACAAGGATGGCCCGTTCAGCCATCACTTGTAGAGTTTAAGAATTTGTTGGCCATCCAAGAAGCTATGGCTAAGCAAATGGGGGGCATCACGCTGAAGAGTGAAGAAGAAGCACTCTACACAAGTAAAAGTCGGAGGAATTTCAAGCCACCTTCTAAAGAAGGATACAAAAATACTGACAAAAGGAAGAGTCAACCAGGAACATCACAACCATGGACATCTCAAAAGACCGACAATAAGAGTTCTCGGGGGAGGATGTTCGAAGGTAACTGCAACAACTGTGGAAAGTAGGGCTACATGTCCAAGGATTGTTGGTCAAAGAAAAATTCTATGGAAAGTAATGTCGTAACTTCCAAAAAGGAAATAGAGGATGAATGGGATGGTGAGGCATCATGTGCCATAGAAGAAAACAAGTTGGCACTTATGACAATGATGGGAGAGCATATCAACTATGAAAATGACTGGATCATTGATTCAGGATGCTTCAATCACATGACTAACGATCAGAACAAACTACAAGACGTGAAGGAGTACAAAGGGAGTCGCATGGTACTTACAGCCAACAATGCATGACTTCCAATTGCTCAGATTGGAAAAACGACGATCATGTCTGGTAATAAATCTGACATGGTGTCACTACATAATGTGTATCACGTGCCAGGTATGAAGAAGAACTTGTTGTCGGTATCGCAACTAACATCGTCAGGCAACTACGTCTTGTTTGGCCCACAAGATGTGAAGGTCTATCGAGATCTTAAAATATCAGAAAAACCAACAATGGAAGGATGAAGAGTGGAGTCCGTCTATGTGCTCTCCGCAGAGTCTGCCTATGTAGATAAGACATGTAAGAATGAAACAGTAGATCTATGGCATGCACGGCTGGGACATGTTGGTTATCACAAGTTGAAGGTAATAATGGAGAAATCCATGCTCAATGGCTTACCTCAACTTGAAGTTAAAACAGATGTTGTTTGTGCTGGATGTCAGTATGGTAAAGCTCATCAATTACCATACAATGAGTCAAATTTTAGATCAAAGAAGCCACTAGAGTTAATTCACTCAGATGTGTTCGGTCCAGTGAAGCAGACATCAGTTAGCGGGATGGGGTACATGGTGACGATCATTGATGATTATTCGAGATATGTATGGGTTTTCTTCATGAAAGAAAAATCTGAAACATTCTCAAACTTTCTAGAATTCAAGACAACGGTCAAAGGAGAAGTGAGAAAGAAGATTTGGTGTCTACGCTCAGACAATGGAGGAGAATACACCTCGGAAGAATTCAATCGCTATCTGAAAGAATGTGGTATACATCATCAATTCACATGTGCCAACACACCTCAACAAAATGATGTAGCTGAGAGAAAGAATCGACATCTTGTAGAAATTTATCGAAGCATGCTACACGCGAAGAATATCCCAGGAATATATTGGGCTGAAGCAATGCGAACTGCTGCCCATGTGATCAATAAACTTCCCCAACCAAGGTTAGGTTTCATCTCACCATTTGAGACACTATGGAACATGAAACCTACTGTTAGCTACTTCCGAGTATTTGGTTGCATCTGCTATGTATTTGTACCTAGTCATTTACATAGCAAGTTTGACAAGAAAGAAGCCAGGTGTATATTTGTTGGATATGACAATCAAAGAAAAGGATGGAGGTGTTGTGATCCAACAAGCGGAAGATGCTACACTTCAAAAGATGTAGTGTTCGATGAAGCATCTTCTGTTGGATTAGTGTCTAAGTCCATAACTATTTTGGTATGTGAGTGCAAGCAAGCATTGTATCAAAGTTTATCCGTTCCTTTTATCCAAGGTAGGATAAAAGCGATATCTTTGGGCCCCTCGATGTTTTAGTGATGACATACGTAAATGCATGCTCTGCCGGGCTAGGGCTAATTTTATTTGTTCAGTTAGTCTATCGTCATAAATCGGAAATCGAGATATAGTACAAAGAGAATGATTTGAAATCATATCTCATACGATATCTAGAATGGAGGAATATATGATCCCTTATCTAAGGACACGCGTATCTGATATGATCAGAGTTGACAGTGGCTTTGGAAAGCTACGATTGCAGATCAGGATCTGAAGTCATACGTAGAATAGTTGTTAGACTTATCCAAGTGGGAGACTGTTGGATTAGTATCTAAGTCCATAACTATTTTGGTATGTACTTGACCCGATGGTGCATGGTCCTTTTGGGTTGCCTTCACCAAAGCAACTTGATAGGATGAATTATGGAGAGTAAGGATTAAATATGATTTATTAATGTATTATGAGAATAATATATTAAAGGAGAAATCATATTGTTTAATTAATATTAGTCAATAATTAATTGGTAATTAGTTTTGTGACTAAAAGAGATTAATTAAACTTAAGGGACTGGAATTGTAATTATAAGATAATTATAATTTGGGCCATGGATTGCCTTATATTAAGGGATGGATGAATTCTAATGGGAAACCCATAAGGAAATCGTCCATGGGCTTGATAAAAGGAGTCTATGGGTTGCTTAGGGCTTAAGCATCCAAATTAGGGTTTCCTTGTTAGATAACCCTAATAGCCCAACTATATAAAGACCCCTTAAGGCTCAAAAACGTGGCTAATGATCTTTATAGGGTTTCTACACGTTTTTGGCAGCCTTCATCCTCTCTCCTCTTCATCCTCTTGCTTATGGTGTTTGTGAACCATTAGAGGAGTGACACTTGTGACTCTAAGCATTCCAAAGTCAATACAAGGAGATTTGGGATTGTTATTGCTACATAACAATCAAGGTATGATCTTAAACCTAATTACATATTAATATGATTACTTATAGTCTTGGATTCAAAGCATGTACAATAGAGAAACCTAGATCCGAGCATTAGGGTTTGTATGAGCACATAGGATGTCTTATGACCAAAACCCATCAGTGGTAGCAGAGCCTAGCTTGGTTTCAGTTGTATTGATGCATTGTATAACTGAAAAATTCGATTTTTTGGATTGTGGAGGCTGGACTCGCCGAGTCCATGGCTGAACTCGCCGAGTCCATGCCCGACTCAACGAGTCAACTCGTCAGATAATGCTTATCTCGAGATTTCTTGC